AATGCTTGCACAAAAACCTAATTAACAATATTGTAAATCAGAGCATCTCAATAAGGATTTCTGTAGCACTGTAGCACTGTCATCTCATTGTTCATTAATTTTTCTCAAACTGGCAGCAGTAATGTCTCCATTGTGAGACTTGTCAAGCAGAGCCCTGGCAGCTGAAGACCTCCAGTTCCAGTCACAGCCACGCTTAAGACCACTCTCCACACATTCAGACGAGCCTCACACATGAAGGAACTGTCCGAGGAACCCAGGTGTGCGAGACCCGGGGCGTAGATCTCCAAGCTTACTCGGATTGGGACTGGGGACTCCTCCACCCAGATCTCCCATCTTCCAGTGTGTAGGCATTACACCCACCAACTTCACCCGGTGCCATGTAATCCCATCAACAGCCAAGACCCAGAGACTATAAAACCCAGCTCCCAGACATTTTATCATCTAGTTCTTACTCTGGAGAACCTGGCAGGCTACCGAAAGTATCCTGCCCACACGGCAGAGTCTGGCAAACTCCCCATGGCGTATTCAATATGCCAAAAACCAGTAACAATGATGAATCTCATTCTCCTGACCCTGAAAGAGCCTCGAATGTGGCACTTTTTAAAATCTCAGGGCTAGGACAAAGGAGTCGTTACTGGGGCCTGCTCGAGGCAATCGATGAACAACAGGAAGACAGTGATACAGTGACAGTGAGTGAGACTTGTTACTGCTTTTGGCATATCAAATATGCCACGGGGAGCTTTCCAGGCTAAGCCATGTGGGGTGGGGTGCTCTTGGTAGCTTGCCAGGCTCTCCAAGAGGGACAGAAATCAAACCCAGGTCGGCTGCATGCAAGGCAAACGCCCTACCTGCTGTGCTATTGCTCCAGCTTTCAAGAACAATAATGAAGAGAAGATTACAGTAAAGTATTGTTCATTTTTTTTTTTTTGCTTTTTGGGTCGCACCTGGCGATGCACAGGGTTTACTCCTGGTTCTGCACTCAGGAGTTACTCCTGGCGGTGCTCAGGGGACCATATGGGATGCTGGGAGTAGAACCCAGGTCGGCTGCGTGCAAGGCAAACGCCCTACCCGCTGTGCTATCTCTCCAGCCCCGGCATTGTTCATTTTAAAGGAAGAGTATGTAACTCTTTTTTCCTCAGCCTATTTTGAAAAGCCTTTGGACACTGGTTCCATCCTGCCTTACTTTTAAATATGATGCTGCCTGTACAGCAAATATTACACAGGTTTTTGGATTGTTTCCTCAGGATCAGCCTCTACAGCAGAATCAGTGGTCAAAGGGTTTTCGGATGCTCTAGACGCATTTTGCTAGCTGACTTTCTGGGACCCCACGGTTTGCATTCCAACAGCTCTGGGCCATGCTGGCTAGGGCTTGCTCCCTGCTTTGATCCTCTCCCATACTTGCCTTCTTTGCTTCTCTTTGCAACTTGAATAAGTGTTCCATCAAATCTCATTTTAAAAAATTATTTTTCCTTTGATCACTAATGAAGAAAAGTATTTCCCGATGTGTTCAAGTTTTATTTCCCTTTCTGCAAATTCTCCTCCGCTCTGCCCATATGCCTAACGGAAATTGGCACTTCCTTTTGGGTCCTATGCACTCTCAGCATTAAAGAGTCTACAGTCATTAAATTTCCATTTGTCCATTCATCCCTGTCATGTGCTAGTATAGCCCAATAGCATCGTTACTGGCACCCATTTGAGCAAACGGATGAACAACAGGATGACAGTGCTACAGTACTACAGTGCTACGGTCATAAAACACTTTTTTCAAAAAACTTTTCTTACTGTTTTATTTACTTTAAATTTATTCTCATTTTCTTCCCAAAGGTTTAGATTTATCTATGGATCTTTTTCTCTTTTTTTCTTTTCTTTTCCTCTCCTCACTTCTCCTCTCCTCTTCTTTTCTTTCCTTCTTTTTTCTTTATAATAGATTTATTTCCAAATTCTTATCACTGCTTTCCCCCAAGATTTATATTAACTTCCAGTGGAGTTCCCCTCTTAACATGTTCAGTTATTGTTTTTTAAAGAAAATTGCATTCAAGATTTCATTTCACCAACCATTTTTTGTTTATATAACATCATAATTTCCTTTGTGTATAGATAATCAGGAATGAGTTCTTAAAATGACATTTTCAGGATTATTCTAATTTGCTTATCAAGTAAAAGCCTCCTATGTATATCTTAGCTCATAAGATTTAGATTTTTTCATACTAAGAGAAATGTCTAAGTTTAAATCACCATTATCGGGGCTGGAGCAATAGCACAGCGGGTAGGGTGTTTGCCTTGCATGTGGCTGACCCAGGTTTGATTCCCAGCATCCCATATGGTCCACTGAGCACTGCCAGGAATAATTCCTGAGTGCTTGAGCCAGGAGTAAGCCCTGTGCATTACTGGGTGTGACCCAAAAAGAAAAAAAAAGTCATTATCATTATCATATCTCAAATAATCAATATTCTTTAACCCACTTCTATAATATACTTCACTTTAATATAATTTAATATAATTTTGCGCATAAAATCATCTGCTAGGGTATACTGCACTGTCCAATACAGTAATCACATGAACATAGATACAGAGCAATTGACATGTGGGTACTACAAGTGAGTAATGAAAATACTCACTTGTACTCACTAAAGAAAATACTCTGCCCACACGGCAGAGCCTGGCAAGCTATCCGTTGTGTATTTGATATGCCAAAACCAGTAATTATAATGGGTCTCATAAAGAAAATACTCACTTTAAAGAAAAAATTGTCTTATTTTTTAACTAAGTTAAAATAGTCGCACACAGCTAATGGCTGTGGTTTGGACAGTGAAGGCTCAGGTCTTCCAATAATAATACTTTGCATTCCAGACCCATTTTTAGGTGAACTGAATAAGAAAACAGAAGTCTCACACATAAGTTTGCTGCAAATCTAAACTCCCCTCACTACCTATCTAATTTCGAAAAAGAAATGTTTTTCAATTAGTAGCTTATATATCATAATTCTCATTTGTTACCTTCATCAGCTTTTCATTTAAGCTATTTTCAGACTTGAGGGTGGTAAGATGTCAAAAGCTCCTATCTATCCCTGTGCCTCAGCTGCTATTTTTATCTACTCCATTTTCGCTCCTTTGTTTGTTATTTTATGTTCAGTCTGTTCCAGGGGAGAAGCACCTGAGTTAACCCTGGTAATCTATCATGAATTTGGAAAAAAAACAGGTAGAATATAATTATCCATCAGAGCTTGCTGCTGTAAAAACCCATGAGGTTTCTTAAAAACTAGATGTATGGTCTATAGTCTACTTTCATTGCCTCTTTTGCAAATCACAACACCCAAAAGGAGAGAGAGAACAAAAGGGAATGCCCTGCCACAGAGGCAGGTGGGATGGGGGGTACAGGGGGTGGGAGGGATACTGGGATCTGTGGTGGTGGGAAATGGGCACTGGTGGAGGGATGGGTATTTGATCATTGTAGAATTGAAACCCAAGCACAAAAATTTGTAAGTCTACAACTGTACCTCATGGTGTCTCACTAATAAAAATAAAATAAAATAAACTAGATGTAGATTTCCTTCTCCTTTCTGTTATTGTTAGGCCTATTAATGTGTTTGTGTTGGGGGGTCGGATGAGTGAAAGAATTTTCGAAGAGTGTAACACATTCTCAGTGCTCAATATATTTACTGGAGTAGAGAATTTTCCCTAAAGTATTATCAATAGAAACACTGTCCTTTTTTTGGCTCACCATCTGTATGGATGAAAGAGGGCAAGGGATGGGAGTAGCAGCTTTCATCGTCGTTCATTCCCTTCACCAGTTGACTTACTCTTTCTTTTTCTCATCTCTGTAATACTGACACGGCGGTGTGGTGTGTCCCTCGGCCCCATAGACATAAACTCTCCCTTTCCCTGTAGCTCCATCTGTTTGCCTACCCATAGCCATTCACTGTTCCTTAGTGGCACAGTTCTTTTTGCCGCCTGGCAGGTGGAGCTGGCTTTCGGGACCTTTGGCCTAAACCAAAACTTCAAAGAAAATCTTATGCCAACACTGCTATTTCTTGCTCCATAACAGAAGTGAGAAAGAGGGACGAGAAGAAAAATGAAGAGTAATAAAAAAAGGAGGGAAAAAGTAAGGTGAACAGCAAACAAACTTAAGAATAGCCTTAGATCTTTGGTAATTTATTGTATTTTGTGTACAGTAGTACACATATATTTTTTTAAAATGCCCTTTCATTTAACTTTCGTGTGTGTTTAAAAAATTATAGCTATTTTCCTTCATTTGACTCTCATAGAAGAGTTAATGACATGTGGATATAAAAATAGTAATGTTTAATGTTTGTTTCTAGTTTTTTTTTTCTAGTAGTGTTTTAATACTGAATTCTAGTCACCTGCTATGAAATCTTGGTCATGTTGTTTTATGAAGGTTTATGGAATCATCTGAAATACTTTTTAATTATTCTACTATTTGTGGCACCATTTTCCTATTGACCTTAAATAGCTTTCTCCCATCCTAACCTACATCATTTTAAGATTATACTTCTCAGAAACCTCTGCATCCTTTTTACATAACCTTCTAAATAATCAGGTATTTTCTACACAGAGAATTTATAATTTCTGGAATGTAGAATTTTATGTTTCTGCCAAGCATAGGGACTACTATTTTGAAGACAACATTCAATTTGTGTTACTAGGACATGCTTGCTTGACAGGTTACATAGCCATTTAAAAAATTTTTTTATTGAATCATAATGAGATACACAGTTACAAGATTGTCCATGATTGGGTTTCAGTCATATAATGTTCCAACACCCATTACATAGCCATTTCTAACTAAAATTTTTAACTAATTGCAGTAGTATGATGAGTAATCCTCAAACACTGCATAGAATTAAATTATATATTCATATAGATGTTCATAATTTGCATACTTCCTTTCTTGAAATAGATACTGTCAATATTTAGGAAAACACTTGTGTTACTTAAACCACAGATATTCTTCTTCCCCCCACCCCCGCCACCCCCGCCCGAACCACTCCAGACTACATCCTCTCTCTCCCTCTCACTCTTCCAAAGGAAGAGTAAAATGATCATGAATGGTAAAAAGGCACCTGCGGAAGCAACACCTCGAACCGGCCTTATGCTCAGTAGAGGATGCTCCGTCTCCTCCTCGTGGTTTTCGGTGTTCTATGTGTTCAGAAAAACTACTCTAGAATGGCTGAGATTAGTACCAGGAATTTTGCTCCATGAATGGAAGGCCAGCCACACGTTCTAGGTGAAAAGGAAGCTCAGATGGAGAAGAGAGCACCAAATGAAAGGTGTTGTGAGGACCTTCCCAGGGAGGGAGAAGCATGCTAAAAGTAGTCTATAGACCAAACATGATTGCCACTCAATGCCTCTCTTGCAAAACACAGTACCCAAAAGAAGAGAGAGAGAACAAAGGGGAATACCCTGCCACAGAGGCAGGATGGGACGGGGGGGGGGGGGGATGGGGGGGGGATGCTGGGACCCATGGTGATGGATGATGGGCACTGGTGGAGGGATGGGCACTTGATCATTGTATAACTGAAACCCAAGCACAAAATTTGTAAGCCTATAACTGTACCTCATGGTGTTTCACTAATAAAAAAAGAAAAGAAAAACTACTCTAGAAACAAACTATATCGCACCACATTTGACAGGGTTCAAAGTAGGAGGCAACAAATCTTAGAAGGAAATACAGATTTATTTCTTACAGATATATATATTAAAAGGCACACAAGGCTCAACCTTATCAACATGTTAGTGATCTCTTATAGAAGGGCTCAATGGCCCCTGGGTGAAATACAACCACCTCCACACTCTTTCCTCTGAGGATACTTTTTTTGTAGCATTTTCAGCAGTGTTTCATAACAAACAATACAAAATATAGTATTTCGGTTCTGTTTTGGGACAGGGATTGGGGGTCAGGATGGAAACATCTGAAATATGGTGATGGGAAGTTGTAATGGTGGTGGGATTGGTGTTTGAATATTAAAGGGTAAAGGTAAAGGCCCTCCCGTTGATCGTCGATTTGCTCGAGCGGGCCCAGTAACGTCTCCATTGGAGACTTTGTTGTTACTGTGTCTGGCATATCAAATACTCTCGGTAGCTTGCCGGGCTCTCCGAGAGGGGCGGAAGAATCGAACTCGGGTCGGCCATGTTGGCTGCGTGCAAGGCAGACGCCCTACCCGCTGTGCTATCGCTCCAGCCCCTTGAATATTAAATGTAATGAAATACTGTGAACTACTTTGTAAAATAAAAAAATATTTACATGATTCCTGAAAGTATAGTCTTAAACCATAGATATTCTTGATCAAGACTGATAACAAAATTTGTGGAGTTCCAGGGAATAGGAACAAGCAGCATCCTTGCTCAAAATTATCAAGAACTACCAGAGAACAATGTAACATTAAGCCAAACATGGACTCTTCTAAGCACCGGGCACCTGTACGGTGCATATGCCCTGCAGTGAGGCCCTGCCCCTAGCTTTGTCAGAATAGTGGAAAAGATGGGCCCAATGCCCAGTGCTTTATCACTCCTCTCATCCCTGATCTCCTTCCTCAGAGAAAGATAATCCAATAATTGGAACTGAGTATTAGATTAGTATTAGGGTCTGTGGAGCGTTCAGAACCAAACCATTGTGGGAATATTTGGAATCTTGTTGTTGGACAAGGGAAGGGTTTAGAGCATGAGAGGGACACGAGTCAATAGGCTGATTAAGCAGGTCATGCTGGCACGGAAGATAGATTAGAAAGACACAGCTATAGATTCACAGTTCTGTCCTGGTCCAAGTGAGAAATGAAAGATATCTAAACTAAAACTGCAACAGAAGGTAAAATGATGAGAGGGCAGATTCGAAACAAGAAACTATGGCCAAGGGGCACAATGGGTAGGGTGTTTGCCTGCCACTCAGCCCAGCTCCCCATATGGTTCCCCCAAACCTCGCCAGGAGTGACCCCTGAGCACAGAGCCAGAAGTAAGCTTTGAAAACTGCCAGTGTTGTCCAATCACCCCTTCCCCCAAGGAAAAGAAAAGAAAAGAAAATGGCCAGGAATGAAAAATCTAAGTAATGAGTGCACATTTCAGGGTGTTCAATGTTTTTCTACAAGTTTAGTTGTTAAAGGAAGGATGAAAGGAAACAGACATAGAGGAGGTTTTTCTGTTTTTTTTTCTATGAAACCAAGCTCCCGGAAGACCTCTTATTGTCTAGTTCTCACTCTAGGAGAAACCGGCAGGCTGCCGAGAGTATTCTGCCCACACGGCAGACTCTGGCAAACTCCCCGTGGCATATTTGAAATGCCAAAACCCAGAAACAATGATGGGTCTCATTCCCCTAACCCTAAAAGAGCCTCCAGCGTGGCACTTGCTAAAATCTCAGGGCTAGAACGAATGGAGACATTACTGGTGCCTGATTGAGGAAATCGATGAACAATGGGATGATAGTGACAATGACAGTGACATGGTAAAGACTTGGGTATGATTGAAGTAAAATAATAAAAGTAAAAAATAGAATTTAAGAGAACTAAGTGAAGAAGACAGATCCTACAAGGAGTGTCTAAAAGATCAAGAAAGAACTAGGGGGCTGGAGCAATAGCACAGCGGGTAGGGCATTTGCCTTGCACGCGGCAGACCTGGGTTTGATCCCCAGCATCCCATATGGTCCCCTGAGCAATGCTAAGAGTAATTCCCGAGTGCAGAGCCAGGAGTAATCCCTGTGCATTGCCGGGTGTGACACCCCCCCCCCAAAAAAATAGTTAAATATGTTGGTTTTGACTGTGCAAAGTGTAACTTATTATTTCATGTAAGAGAAAGGGCCTCCAGAATATATGGAGAGGCAAATACAATTTTACATAAGAGACAAGATAGAACATTCAAAATTTGTATTCATTTTACGCGCATGGAGCTGGGTATATAGCTCAGTGGTAGACTGCAGCCTTTGCGCATATGAGATCCTGGGCCCAGATTTCCCTTCAAAATAACACTGTAAAGTTGACCAAATCCATTGCATGTTGATCTAGCATCCTTGCCCCTAATCTTGACTACTTAGCTAGTCTCTTAAGAAGTTTCCCTGTGAAAAGGGACCCAGCCCTGGCAGCTGAAAACCTCCAGAACTCAACTCCCGCCATGCTCACGGCTGCTCTCCACACACTAAGGCTGAGCCTCACCTATGAGTGAATCTATTCCAGGCCTGAGCGGCCATGACACTTCATACTACACACCCTACCCAACCTCCAAGAGTACCACACCACATTTGATGGGGTTCAAAGTAGGAGGCAAGAAGTCTTAGAGGGATTTTTTTTTATAGATGTATATATAAGCACACAGGGCTCAACCTTTAACAACATGTTAGTGATCTCTTATAGAAGGGCTCAATGGCCCCTGGGTGAAATACAACAATCTTCACAACTCTTTCCTCTAAGGATACTTTTTTTGTGGCATTTTCAGCCATGTTTCATAACAAACAATACAAAATATATAATTTCGGTTCTGCTTTGGGGCAGGGGTTGGGGTTTAGGATGGAACCGTCCAAAATATGGTGGTGAGAAGGTGTCATGGTGGTGGGATTGGTGTTTGAATATTAAATGTAATCAAATATTGTGAACTACCTTATAAAATAAAGCACTGTACGCTGTCCTCCTGTTGTTCATCGATTTGTTCGAGTGGGCCCAGTCACGTCTCCATCGTGAGACTTGTTGTTACTGTGTTCGGCATATGGAATCCATCACGGGTAGCTTGCCTGGCTTTGCTGTGTGGGCGAGATACTCTTGGTAGCTTGCCGGGCTCACTGAGAGGGGTGGAGGAATCGAATTCAGGTCAGCCGTGGCCGGGAGCAAAGAAGTTTGGTTACTTTCACTTCCGCCTTCCCATACTTAAGCTTTCTCATAGCAGCAGACTTGCCTTACATATATATAATGAAGATGCCCTCTTCTGTCCAAGATCCCTCCATAGTTTCCCACCATAACCAGAAAAACTTAAACTCACTTGACAAGCCCAAAGAGCCCTGTATCATTTAGTTCCCACCTCTCACTCACCTGCTTTTCCCTCTCCTTTCCTTCAATTGTCTCAGTCTTCCTTGATCACTGTGTTCTGATGCCATCGCCAACTGCAAACTCATGGTCGGTTCATGTTGTCATGCTTTCTGTTCCCTCTGCCAGAACGTTCTTCCTCCAGAGTTTAGCATGGCTTCTGTTCTCCTACACTTCATGCTGCACTTAGGAGTACGCTCCAATATCATGTACTTAAAGAAATCTTTTCCCATAACCCAGTGAAAATTGTGCTCCCAGATTCTTCTTTTTCTTCAGATCTCTTTTTGCCAGCGGCTAGGATGTAAGTCCCATAAAGCAGAAATTTTATTTTGCTCATCTCATTATCTCTAGAATCATACCTACCTTTTATAGGTTACTGGTCCCCTCCTCCAAATTTAAAGCAGTACTTGCCATTTAATCTAGACATGTATGAGAATGATTCCCTTAATAATTCCACTGGGCAAGCAAAATTGTTTTTAGATATTTTGTTGGGGGTTTCAGTAGCTCTCAAAGTTTCTCACCTCAAGGGTTTATTTAAACAAAGATGGACGGCAAACAATTATAGAGTTCCTGACTTAGTGGAGGTAGGTGGGCTGGAAAATTTGCACAAAGTTATTGAGAGTTGAATTTTAGGCATGTAATATTTCAACACCAATCCCACCACCAATGTCAACTTCCCTCCTCCAGTATTCCCATATTCCCTTCCCACCACCAACCCCTGCTCGGTCCCTGTTTGTCAAGAACAGGCACATAACAAGTTCCGGTGGGTGCAGCTTAGAGCTCTTTTTTTCAGTGTTGTTGTCTGTGTTTTGTATATATGGCCATACCACAAACTCCTGTCACCAATATAACTGAAGCTTTGATACCTGTTCACCCATTAATTTTTGGGCTGGAGCAATAGCACAGCAGTAGGGCGTTTGCCTTGCGCGCAGCCAGCCTGGCTGAGCTGGGTTCGATTCCTCCGCCCCTCTCAGGGAGCCCAGCAAGCTACTGAGAGTATCTCGCTCACACGGCAAAGCCTGGCAAGCTCCCAGTGATGTATTCAATATGCCAAACACAGTAACAACAAGTGTCAAAAACGGAGATGTTACTGTGCCCGCTCGAGCAAATCAATGAACAATGGGAGGACATGAAATTGATGAATTCCCCCCCTCAATTTTTTTCCTTTCATTGTCTTTCTCTCTAAACACTTGGGTAAAG